CCAACATCCCAACGTCCCCCTCGTTTTTGCCCCCTTGCCCCTCTGTTCTTTCCCCCCCCCCCCGCCACCCCCCCCGCCCCCACCAAGGTTGTTTCAGAGCCTATTCAAGTATTTCCCTCCCCCTGCCTTCATTCAAAGAATATATAGCATAGCTAACTTCCAAAATAATTTCTGAGTCATTAGCTGCTGTTCATAACAGAAAACCTGCCTGCCGGGTTTTAAAACTAGAAGATTTTCAACCTACGCCCAACGAATTTTAGGCTAGTTCTAATGTTGGACATACTGATAATGGCAGTTGGTGGCCAGCGATGTTTGGTACATATAATTTATGATGGCAACTGCAAACCACGCGTTGAAGTGCCGAACCATTTATGTTGAATGATGCTAGCGCGTTAATATTAATATTTGCTTGCAAACAATGTTGAGAGCATTAATACTGGCTTTTGCCTACAAACAATGTTGTCTGTATTATTGGCGGGTTGTTTCCCAACAATGTTGGGCACTTGCTTTAATGTTGGCGGTTGTTTGCCAACAAAGTTGGGGACATTAATTTTGAAACTGCTGGCCAATAATGTTAGACGAAGTTTCTAAGTAACATTCATGCCTATACTTTGGTCCCTGGAGGACAAAGATGGTTACATTTATGTTGGCAGTTGCTTGCCAACGATGATTGGTGCGTTAATATCGGATGGACATAATTTGGTTGGCCAGTAATATTGGGACTCATTAATGTTGAATGTTGTTGGCCATTAAAACTGGGCGCGTTTGCAAGGGTGTAAACTTAAAACACTGTGTCCGCTTGCCATTCTATTGATCATATCATAATGAAAACTAGCTTCGCACTTGCTTGGACCCTCCCTCTCGCTATCCCTTACTTCAACACTTATCGTGCTAAATTCATGAAAATAATTCGCTAGTATAACGCTTGGGATCCTTCTTGTTCAAATATTGCCCAAGCGTCGTTCAACTCCATAAAAATTGCACGGGCTAAAGCCTCCTCTGGGCTGCCGGTAAGCTGCAAAGAAGCAGCAAGACCGATTAGAAAATGATTCACGTGGATGAGGGGGCACGGGGGAAACAGGGTAGAAACCCTAGAGATTTATAGTCAGCAAGGGTAGAGGGGGGGGGGGGGGGNAATGTTGGCGGTTGTTTGCCAACAAAGTTGGGGACATTAATTTTGAAACTGCTGGCCAATAATGTTAGACGAAGTTTCTAAGTAACATTCATGCCTATACTTTGGTCCCTGGAGGACAAAGATGGTTACATTTATGTTGGCAGTTGCTTGCCAACGATGATTGGTGCGTTAATATCGGATGGACATAATTTGGTTGGCCAGTAATATTGGGACTCATTAATGTTGAATGTTGTTGGCCATTAAAACTGGGCGCGTTTGCAAGGGTGTAAACTTAAAACACTGTGTCCGCTTGCCATTCTATTGATCATATCATAATGAAAACTAGCTTCGCACTTGCTTGGACCCTCCCTCTCGCTATCCCTTACTTCAACACTTATCGTGCTAAATTCATGAAAATAATTCGCTAGTATAACGCTTGGGATCCTTCTTGTTCAAATATTGCCCAAGCGTCGTTCAACTCCATAAAAATTGCACGGGCTAAAGCCTCCTCTGGGCTGCCGGTAAGCTGCAAAGAAGCAGCAAGACCGATTAGAAAATGATTCACGTGGATGAGGGGGCACGGGGGAAACAGGGTAGAAACCCTAGAGATTAATAGGAGGGAAGGGTGGGGGGGGGGGGGGAGAGCAAAGGCGGAAAGCCGGCCTGAATGCTCAAGTGGAGCAGACCAGAAAAAATAGCAAAATGCTAATACTTCCAGTCGATAAAATAAAATGCGTTAGAAACCAGGTATTGATGGTTGATTTGCCATTACCTTCTTCTACGGCACCCGAACAGAAGTTTGTTTCCAAGCTAAAGAGAGCGCGCACGGATTAGAACACGGCGCCTTCTTGCTTTCGTCAAAATTGTAAAATGTTTTGTCGTGATTGTGTTGAAGCCTTTTAGTTCAATAAGTAGTGAAGCTTTTGACTAACGCAGTTTTCATGCTTTCTAAGCATGTGAGTATCCCGGGGTGAGTATTAAAGGCCCCTTTTAACTCTCTTGTTTCAAACTCAGTGGCGTGGAAAAAAATTAAAAAGGAAGAAAAATCGCAAAGTACTAACAGTGATCCCGCCACGCGTTTTTGTACCTAACTCATTATCTGATTATAGTACCTTGTCAGGGTGAACAGAGAGTACTGCTTTTCTGTACCATTTCTTCACCTAAAGAACAAACGTAAAAAATCTTTTCACAAATAACTCACTAGTTACTACTTTGAAGAAGGGGTAAAATGCCATAAAATTGCTCTAAAGATTTAAGGATTTTTGACACCCACTTAACGATAAGAAACACCTTGCACGATTTAGACTGCCTCTAAAAGGTTAGTGAGGGATAGTCATAAACGGCAGTCGATAAAAGACAACCGAAGGTGCAAATAATTGCTGGTCATAAGGATTAAAACACGTGAGCCAGAAGTCTCCAGCACGTGGCTCTTACCTGTGCGGGTTTCACCAGGTTGTGCATGCCACAGGGCTCCCATCTCTCTTCACCATCCCACAAAATGAGATGTAAACCGCACAGTAAGGCCCGAATGTTACCTTTCTTTCCTTCAGCCCACTCATCCACCTTTCAACAAAAAAGTAACACGTTAACCCTTTAAGCACTACGAGTGATCAGCATCAAATATCTCTATGTAATATCAACGCTTTGTAAACCAGAGTGGTCATGAGAATTACGGACGTAATCATAAAAGATGAATTTGCTTGATACTTTATCAACTTCTCCCCTCTATTTCTGTAGGAAATGAATAGGGGCAACAAATGAGAATTCAAATTTTGATCTTAGGGTTTAAAGGGTTAAAAGTTGTAATCTTCATTGGTTTGGAGAATCCAATCTCTTTTGATTCTCGCTATTTTGCTCGCCAGTTGTGAAGGTGTTAACTCGACCCTTTTGTTTGGTTTTTCTTCGTCTGTCTTTGCAATCCTCTGACTGCCTTTACTTAACCCTTTCACTGCCAGAGTGCTTGATGGAGTTTTGTAAGGTAACTTTTGAGTCTCTGGATGAAATCCTATGATGTGACCATTCAAATGAAAGCTCTCTGCCCCTACTTGCACATGATGCTATTTATTCTTCAAAATTTCACAAAGTGAAATTTGGGGATTTGCTTTCCGTAAAATTTGGCAGTGAAAAGGTTAACAAAGAAAAAAAGATCAGAGGCATCACCATAACCATCATCGTCATCACCGTTACTACATCATTATCACTATCTCAACCTTGGTCATTTTTTCCGTCACCACCGTTAAAATCCTTGTCTTTCCACCACCTCTGCAGCCCTTATCGACAGGAAACTGGAGGTTGGCCCGCTCGGGGTTTCGCGAACAGCAGACGCATTTCCGGTCGTCGCTTCTCTCCCTCCGAAAATAGCGTCTACGAACCCCAGCGGCAAAACGCTTTCCGTGACGTACAACCTTTTTAGCCAATCACGGTTTAGCTCTTAAAATCAAGGAACTAACTCGCGAGACTTCTCGCAAGATCGTGCGTGGTGGATATGTTTATAAGTCGAAATTGAAAGGACGACGTAGCTTGTGTATAGCCGCCCTTTTTTCTCAGAACGAAGCGTTTACGAAAGTTAATTTGCCAGGATTGTGGGACTGATTAATGAAATAAGCATCAAGAGGATTCATATTGAAGAAAAGATTAGAGGACATTTTTTATCTATCTGCCTACGGAGTTGACTCGCCCCATTTCCTCCTCTCTTCGGGAAGTTTCAACATGGCGCTTTCGCGAGCAAATTGCGCACTCAAAGAAAACGCCTGCACTGCAGGCTAACGGAGTCAATGATTTATCAGACCTTGTTGTTTTGATCATTATTTGAAACGATAAATGTCCTAATGACAGTAAGAGCATCATGCCGTTTGTTGCTTCTGTTTTTTTCTGGTTCCTGGCAGGAAAGTATGCTTTGGAGAACTCTGCGATAGTTTGTCGTGTGCCGCTTTAGATATTTTTTAGTACATATGCTTTATCTTGAAGCTAGTACGTGTGGTAATTGATTTCCCATGCGTGGTTGCTTCTTGGGTCAGACAGAACTTTGATCAGATCGAAAGCATTTTATAATTGTCCTTATATTTCTTTAAACACATGTTCTTTTCAAGGTTTTAATTTCCATAGTTTTTTGTAAGATGAGTCGAAGCGTCGTAGCTAAAATGTCCTCTCGACTATGATCAATTTACTGCTGTAACAATTTTAGTATTTCACGCTTGATCTGGCCTAGGTTTATAATATTTCAGATCATTGTGTTGTGGCGATATTATTGACAAGCGATTGTCAGAGATTTCTGAATCAGTCGAGGATGTGTCTGTATAATTGATTCACCACCTTTTGTCAGCGCTGGTTAAAGTCTGAGCGCGATGTAGCGATTATTTTGTCCAGGTTTTGTTTATGTCACGTACTACCTTATTTTACAAAGCGAAACCAAAGGCCCACATCACATACACAGCTTAAGAAGCAGTTGCTTCATAAAGACGTCAGCGTTCAACGTCGCAGGAAGCCTTGTTATGGTCGTGAAATTCACGTTCCAAAGCGTATTTGGTAACTCGCGCCGAAATCCAAGACCCTCCAGCGCGCGAGGTCGCGAGGAGACATTTTTCGGAGGGAGAGAAGCGACGACCCGAAATGCGTCTTCTGTTCGCAGGCTAGCTTGGGGTTACGCGCACGGATTTCAACATGTGTTTTCCTCGAATGGATGGCACTTGGAGTCTTCCATTATCCTGGTTTACGGTAGGGTTTAAATCCCCATCCCCTCTAAACCTCCAACATTTTGTCCAGAGACTTAGCTTTAATTTTTTTAGACTTGTTTGACACATGAGTTTTTAAGGTAATCATAATTACGTACATTACAATTATTGCCACCACAATCACAGTTTCCGTAATAAATGATAACTACAAAAAGAAAAAAAATGAGCAAAGGGAACGTTACCTTGGCCCTGATTGGATCAAGAGGTTTGTTTTGTTCCTTTTTCAACGCCTTCAGCGTCTGAGCTTCTCCTTCCTGATCCCCTGTTGTTTTAAAGCCTTGTGCATTGAGAATGTCACTAAATTCGTCTCTACCAACTTTTTTGGGCGCTTGAAAAATAAAACAATATAATTTCCCATGAGAACTTACATTTTGAAAGCGCCTACTTAGCTGTTTGGATCGAAAACTAATTATCTAAACAAAAAACAAAGCGAATGTTTAAAAAAAACATTAACTTTTTCCTGTCATCCGAAGTGTACCCTCTAGCTTCTTCCGCTTAAACTTGAACGTCTTCATTATTAACAACGATCTTTTCTTCATTTTCATGAAGTGAAGAAGCAAACTGAAAGAGTTTGTGTTTTCGTTTCAAACAGGTGTTTGTAAGACAACGTAGATTGAACCTAAAATAGAAGTTAATATATATGTCACAGGTCAAAATTAAGTTCAGGTAAAAATTGTTTACCTTCCGGGTAGGCTGATATTCAGTTTCCTTTATCTCTTAACCCTAATTATAGGAGACATCACTATCTACAAACATTATTTTTGTTGTGAAAGGTTTGAACCCAGGAGTCATTTCAAAAGTAGGTTGAGTTTGACCGTCCGGTGAACGCAGTCCTGAATAGGACTGTTGTTGTTGACAGTGACTGACGTTTCGACAACTTGTGCGGTAGTCATCTTCAGTGTCGAAGAGAGTCATTTTTGTTGTTAAAATTTGTAGCGAGTGAAACAAGAGAATCTTTTGTTTCATGAACCAATGTGCTTCTGGTTGGCCCTCTAATATCTATATGTGGAGTAAGCGTGGTATCGCTATTCATGAATTAGGGCTAGGAGCACAACGAAAATTGAGAATCAACCTACTAGGTTAAAAATTTTTACCTGAATGAAATTGTGACCTGTAATTTTAAAATATATGTAAGAACAGGGTGGACTGTATCTAAAAATTTAAAAGTTTATACTACTACATGAAAATTACTGCAATTTGATTGGCTTAGAGCAGTGGTATTTCAGCTTAATCTGAAATACCTACATTTTAAAATTACAAACCTTTTGCAGGTAGTAGTATAAACAAATAATAGCATGATTTGTACGTGATATTCGGCATAAATACCACTCCTGATATTTCAAAATTGTCTCAAATTTCACTCGCCTAACGGCTCGTGAAATTATGTATAACAATTTCGAAATATCACTCGTGGTATTTATGCCAAATATCACTACAAATCATGCTATTACCTATACTAATATAGATTATTAAACACTCACCGCTCCACTTCTGTCCGTAGTCGCCAAACACTCCATGAGAACCTGACATGGTGTAAGAAGGTGCGTAGTTTGGCTTACTTTGCGCCTTGGGCGCGGGTGATGAAGATTTAGCCCCAGGCTGCCACGAGGGTTGCTGGGACTGGCGAGACCAAGAGGGGTTGGCACTAGTACCAGGCCCTGGTTTCTTCTGCGGTTTGGGTGACGTAGCCGCTGAGGGGAATTTTGGCGCAGTTGAAGAAGTTGGTAAACCAGACTTTAAATTGCCAAAGTCCGCGAATGGATCGCTCGACTTCGGTTTGCTTTGCGGAATTGAGCCATTAGTCGCTTTGGGCAGTTTTGGCGATGGTACCCTATTGGGTTGCAGAAATGACGCGGACGAGCTACCACCCCAGTCTCCGATCAAGTCCACGTTGCTTTTAGCCTGGCCCTGCACTGTGGCCGTAGGTGCCTGGGAACTACTTACACCAAAAAGATCTTCACTAGCGGCTGTGGATGCTCCTCCCAACATATCAAACGCGTCAAAGTTTGATTCATTGCTTTTTGAACCAGCAGTACTGCTACTGATTTTCGCCGGCTGAAAACCAAAAGGATCAAAAGATTGGGCTTTACTTCCACTTTTTTGTGTTGCAAAGAGATCGAAACTTTCATTTTCACTCGCAGATTGACTCGACGCAAAAGGATCCAAAGATGAGTTACTCTCAACCTTCCTTGCCGCAAAAGGGTTAAACTCGTTCGTCGACGACTTCTCATCGCGGCGTTTAGAGCTGAACGGATCGAACAAATCTGGCTCTCCAGATTCAAGGCTGGAATTTTCTGGAGATTTAGTCCTTGTGGTCTGGAAAGGATCAAACGTTCCAGAATCTTCGTTAGGGGACATAAAAGACGTTACATTCTCTCTACTTGAGCTAGCACTATGGCTTCCTAGCTGACTGAAAAATTCCTCTTCATCGTGGAGCAAGCCAGGGCTGAGAACGTCATCCGCGCTTTTATTCCGTTTCATTGATCTGTGATGGCTTTTCTCCGTGCCGCTAAAAAGATCCACGTTTTGACTGTCCTTGCTTCCACCTTCATACGGGAACACAAGATAAAAAGAAAAATCAAAACAAAAAAAAAAACAAACAACAAATTTTATTGAAAATTGGAAATAAAACCAATTACATTACTTTCCCACCCGCAAATAGCTTATAAACTAATCGAGGCGGGGGGATCTGAAGACATATTACAAGTACAAGGTTTATCTATAGATGAACTAAATAACAGTGAAGACACTACTGTACCCCTTAGTCTCTTGTTTCTACAATGCACACCCCCTTGAGTTGAGGTCGGGTGGATTTCTCAACGCTTAAGGTATAAAATTAGTAGAGTTCTTCAGGGAAAGAGATAAAAAAATTCGGGAGTTTTCTTTTTTCACTAAAGAGGGGTAAAAGCTGTATTTCAATGGAATCCTTACAGGAAAACTTAGATTTCAGATAATTATTGAATTGACGAGTAAAAGTTTTTTCTCAAAAAAAGTCTTTAAGGATAGACCCATTTCTTGAGGCGGTCTTTATTACATTCTTCATAGGGTTACGGAAAAGGCACGTTTTAGCTAAGGAGTGCGGCCTTTAAATACAAAAGCCCAGGTAGTAGGATTCATCTAAAACTTTAGAATTTGTACGTAAAATTTGCATTTGGAAAGAACAGAAACAATTGCACAAAGCGTTTGGTCTTTAAAAAAATGGTAGCACAAATTACTAGACGGTTCACCGTTTAGTAGATAACTAAAGGCATCTTTATCTAGGTACAAGTTTTTTTTTTTCTAAAGGATTGAGTTATCCACTTTAAAAACGACTGTCCAAGGGTGTGTGTGTGTGGGAGGGGGGGAGGGGGGGGGGGGAAAGGGGAGGGCACCGATCTTGATTTAAAACATAAAGAAGACAGCGCAAATTGTTCCGAACGAAAGGGTAAACTGCGGCTTAGGATATCTATCACTTTGTGAAAGGTTTGAACCTAGGAGTATTTCAACAGTAGGTTGAGTTTGATCGTCCGGGTGAACGTAGTCCTGAATAGGACTGTTGTTGTTGACAGTGACTGACGTTTCGACAACATGTGCGGTAGTCATCTTCAGAGTCAAAGTGAGTTGTATCACGTCAGTTGATGGTATTATACTCTGGTTATTGATCTGATTGGTCAATTAAGTCGCGATGTTATTGGTCGTCTGTCAGTTAAGCCGTGATGTTATTGACTATGAAGACTCGTAATCAGGTGTGTTTCGATCCGTCCGTTGTCACAGTTGAACAGTCGTCTATTGTTAGTCAAATTGTACGTTATCCACTCGTTCTCTACAAGTTAGTTTTGCTTGATCTCGTCAACAAGTCGTTTGTACGGCGCTGGTATCACTTTGTTGAAAACGTTGGCAGGTAGACGAGCGAGGCAGAAGGGAGCAATTGGGGTAACTTAGCAATGCTAGCTTGCGTAGCAGGCGATTTTGTTTGTCGAGCATTCAAATGGGCGGTTAAGCCGCGAGGAGAATGGGGCGGAAATCCAAACGCACCAAGCTATGCTATATGCCGGCGTGTGACAATCTTACCTGGAGATAAATTAAGCAGGTCTACTCCCATATCGTCGGTGACCGCTACATGATTAGTTTTCACGGTGCCCCCATGAATGTCCTCATTTGGCTGCGTTTTAATATTGCTTCCTAAATTCAACAAGTCCACGTTAACAGTTTTCTTGCTAATGACCGGCTCTTCCTCATCGGAATCGCTATCCTCAAAATTAAATAAGCGTTCATCCATTCCCTCGCTAGATGCCGATTTCAAATTAAACAAGTCCATTCCACCCTGGGCACTAGTTTCCACTCCTTCTCTCTCGGAGAAGAAATCGTGCGCCTGCGATGATCCATGCCCAGCGGTATTGTCCCCATCACTGCGCAGGTTCCCAAAATCGTCATCACTATCATCAAAGGAGTCCTTGTTTGTTGACGATCTGGCATTAGCTTCTTGCCAATTTATTGCTGAGAAAAAGTCCTTGTTTGGCTTGGTTGCTGATGCACCATCGGAACTGTCGGAATCTGCGCTTTCAGACGGCTGTAGAGTGACTTCATCCGCGTCCTCCTCTACTTCGTTTGACTTGCAGTTAAACACCATGTTTGATTCTCTATCATCTGCATTAACTGTGATAAAAAGGAGAACAGCAATAACGAACTCAACAAACATGGCTTCAACGAATTATTAAACGTTTAAGGGAAACTTCCCACCTACCCCTCCCCTAGTCTAACATTTTGCCCTAAGTGAGAAGTAAGTGTTAATGTTGGCTTAGGCGAGGGGTAGGTGGGCAGTTTCACAGAAACGTATGATAATCCGCTTCAATTATGGGAAACAAAACCGGATTACACGACTGCATCAACTTGACTCATCTCGATTTGGTCTAAGGCTATGGGGTTAAAAAGTTGGGCATTTACGTGGTCCGTTCAGATAGAACCTGACTGACCGTCCGAAAATTTTGACGCCTAACTGTTCAGATGTTTGAACGCAAAAATCGAGGTCAAGTTTTTAGTCGGTACGGTCGTAAATTTTACCAGCGCAGTGTGACCGTCTAAATTTTTGTACGGCAAAGACGTACTTGCATGAATGCGTGGGAAAGAACTCGGCTAGAAGACATCACTTTATATTTGCTAAAGAAGCACTCTGCTTAGTGGCAGATGTTAAAACCAATGAAAGAGGTTAAAATTCAACCTGATTCGTCAGTTCCGTGTGAAGAGGGCGAAAATCTCGGACGTTTCGAAAATTCGCCAGACACCGTGTGACCCCAGGCGCAACCCTTAGATAGATCGACAACCGTAACCTATGATCATACACGTACCAAACTCCTCCTGACACTCAAGATACTCTTCTTTGGTGGAGAAACAGACTTGAGGGAAGAGTTTGTCGATTTTGAGTGTGTCCCAGGTGTGGGTAGCACTTTTAACTTCCTCTGCATCCACAGTGATATCTAATGTTACAGTAAACCGTGAAGTAAACTTTCCTTCGTCGTCTTTACTGATGTCCAGCTCCTCTCTGTTAAGACAAGAAGGTATAAAAATTGATCAAAAATCTACAAATGGCAGAAACTATTATAGCCTCAAACCTACACGATAAGACCGTAAGTTAATGTGGCTAGCTGTACATTCTTTGTAATTCGGACATAACTTCAAGGTTCACAATGCCAGAAAAAGCAATAAAATGTCACAAAAGTTTATGTTTATGATTTTATTACAGAGGAGTTTCTTCATGACTGCATCGAAAGTTTCTGGGTTGTGAAATTACCCATACTACAACGTTAATTGAAATATCTGTATATAAGGGCGACCACTTCTCAAATGTAAAGAAATCTGCCAGTGAGCTATCAGTAGCGAGGTCCTGGCAGTCAAGTGACAGCTATCAAAATAGAGTACCCGCTGACAAGTGTCACATGACTGTATCGCAGGCTTAAGTGTACAACTCACTGAATTCTCCGCTAGCAGTTATTGGTTTTCAATTGATCACAGGCTCAGGTCCATTTCTTCAGGGGGGAATTCAGTTTGCTTCTTGTTTATGGCAAAATTGAATTACTCCAGAAAGACATTTCTTAAAATATCTCACGAGAGCTCCGCTTTTGGCGGAGCTAAATGAGTATATTATTTACGGGACCTACCGTGAATATTTGAGTTTCTGTGCTGAAGGTTTGATGAAGCCAGTGTGGAACTGTAGCATGAACACTCGCATGGAAGTAACCTTCCCCTGTACCTTGCCTCCAAGCGTGGAGCGAGCATGGTACACTACAATGGTCACATCTCCTTGCAAAGTAAAATTCACAGGGAACGACACCTTACCGTCACCTAGATTGTACTCCCTGTAAAAAGAAATTCAATAAAAACAGTGCTTGGAACAGTATTCAAAAGAATTATGGCGACGCTCTGATTCTTTATCATTGCTCTTTGCGATTTATTTATTTACTTAGGTTCCCTAACAACATGGGCACCCTACCTCATTTTTTCAATTTCCTGAACTGTCGTTAGTATTCTCTGTTCTCCATTGTACACTTCAATAAATGGACGACAGCCATTCCTAAAGAAAAAAGAATGATTTTTGAACACAACTGTTCGTACAATACTAACTACCACAAACAATGCAGGGATAAATCTGCCAAATGGCTTCGCCAAGGCCCTTGCGCACAATAATTCATGTAGCAGACAGAACCATGAAGTCTGCACTTTCCCGTTTTCAGACACTAACAACTTTTTTGTAATTTAGCTATTTGATTACATGCTGATGATAGTGATAACTTAAGATTTGAAGTGCTTTATTTGAGATGTTACTAAATCAAGACATTAACCCTCGTCTGAGATCAGTTTGGCGCCGCGCATGCGTACCTAAAGGGGTAAACCGGTTTAATTCCCAGGGAAAATCAAGACGTAGGATGTACTGGTAAATTCCGAGGTAAAATTTATAACGTAGGATGTACCGGTAAATTCCCAGGGAAACTAAAAAAGTGGGATGCAACGGTAAATTCCCTAAGAAAACTCAAACCCTAGGATGCAGCGGTATCTTCCCAGGAAAACTCAAAACCAGGGAAGTACTAGTAAATTCCCAGGGAAAACTCAAAACGTCGGATGCACCGGTAAATTCCCAGGAAAAACTCAAAATGTGGGATGTACTGGTAAATTCTCAGGGAAAACTCAAAACGGGGGATGTACCGGTAAATTTCCAGGGAAAACGTGGGATGCAACGGTATTTCCAGGAAAACTCAAAACCTGGGATGTACCGGTAAATTCCCAGGGAAAACTCAAAACTTCCATACCTGGCTTTGTTAAAGGCTGGGACTGGGTGCATGGTAACTGACTTGATGTACACTGAATACTGATGAGGCTTCATCTCCTGGTTATTAATCAGCTGAGTTATATAAAGTAGATAACTACAGGAACAAAGGAAAAAGTCCATCAATTAGCGAGTACAATGTTTAGACTTGCAGTCAACGTTTGCTCGTTCTAATTACCATGGACCTGGTGGCAAGGGATCAGCTTCCCCTTGTAAAAGTTTCATTAAATTGAATCCTGTGTTGCAAGACCTTTACTTGAACTAACCTAATTTTCGAAAGTTATTAACTCCATCACTTCGCGTGTTACATTTCTTTCTATTACAATAACTGAGCGATATATAGCGCGCTGACGAATGGCAGGCTTACCGTTCTTGTGATGCTGTCAATGACACTTTGTGTCCAATTCCACAACGACGAATACTGAACATGTCGGCTGCTCCGGTAGGGTTTTTGAACAATTTACAGAATACAAACAACGCTGCTACAATAACACCAGATGCCTCTTTACCATCCTGGTAAACAAAATGGAGGGTACGTTGACGAACATCACTTTGTTCGGGTTTACTCGACCTTTACACTACATATCACTTAAGGCAAAATTGTTAGTTAGGGGAGGGGTAGGTGGTCAGTTACCCAAAAACCTCAAATGATCCGTTTACCCTTTCACTCCCACACGAGCCCATCCCATGCAAACTGCATGATAGAAATTTGGGAGGTGGTTCTCACTTTTGAATCTGTGGATGAAATCCTCTGGTGTGCCATGGACCATTCGAATGAAACCGCTTTGAAAGAACTTTCAAGTGGTACTAATCATTTAGTATGTGGCCCTAACTTTTGAGTCTAAGGATGAAATCCTATGGTGTTACCATTCACATGAAACCTCTTTAGTAGTACTTTCACGTGGCATCATCTGTTTGACATTAAATTACAAAACAGAATTAGGAATTTTTCCCGAAGTTTGACCTTGGCCAATCCCGGGAGTAGTTAGGGGAGTCTGAAAGCTTTGACTGCAGTACGAAATTGTGGTGCTTTTGGCATTACCTGACAGTGTATGACAATCACATGTTTCTTATCAGTCTTCAACCAAGAATACATCTTCCTACACAGGGATAACAGCTTCTCTAGCGGAGGAAGCCTATGACCCACCAGGCAGCAATTCAACACCTGTAAAATAGGACCAAAGTTTCTAAAGTCTCTGGTTAACTGTTCAAAATTTTGCAGGTATACAAGAATTCGAAAATTATAGCTGTCACTCTGAGCTGCTCTTTACAGCTAATTTTGTACCAAAATCTCTTGTTGATGAAGTGTGAGGCGAGATCTGGTCAAGAGGGAAAATTCAAATTTGTTGATTGGCAACTCAAACTGCCTAAATAGTGAGGGAGAGATTATTAAATTAAAATTAAATGCCGCTTTGAATTTGATAATGTCATAAGACAAAAACTAATTAGTTTATGGTTCAACTGTGCGTATAACTACATTTGTTCGAGAAAGCTTCATGGCTCTTTAAGAGCAAATTCGTCATTTGACGCAGTCGCCATTTTGAGAATTCACTTCGAGCATGTGCTCTTACATCACCTATCACATTTTTTGATAGATGATCAAAGAGACTCGTGAAATGAGAAGATCATCTTTGGACATCAAACTGATGACGTCACAAGCGGTACAAGGGAGGTGTTTGCACACGGGCGGTAACGGGTTGTTGAGGTGTTAGCCGGTTACAGATATAAAATCTAGGTAAAAAGAAGATGAACTTACCCTGTCGCTGAGTTTCTCTGTCCTGTATGTCCTGGGTGATACATTTATTACTAGATAGTTCTCGGGATATTTAGAGTCTAGAAAAGATCGTACATCGTCGATGTTGTTTTTATAGGTAGACTCAATTCCATCAGCTGGATAAGACATCACTAAAAGAGGAAAAAAGAGCAACAATTAAAACTTAAGAAAACAAAAACGCAAATACTGTCCAAAATTCCTGTCAAAGCTACTTCCTATTGACACAAAATGAACAGAGAGAAGTGTTCGTATTACAGAGAGGCGCTGTTTATTATGCTGTATAGTGTGTTCTAACTTTTTAAGTGCGTAACCATTCAATTTATTTACCAGCTTTTCTGAACACAGGCCTGCCCAGAGGGAATGTGCAGAAACGGGACTCAGGTCCCATGCAAGGAGCCATCCCTACCCAATCCTACAACCTGTAATGGTTGGCCACACCACCAGGGTCTACAACCCCTAGTCTTTTCGAATAGTGACGTGGGTTCTTTTACGTCCCACAAGAACAAATCAGTGAAAGTGCTGTGAGGTGGGACCTACAGTTTTTCGTCCTTATCCGAGAAGACTAGAAAGTCTAACCATTTGCAGATGTCATTACAAAGGAAGTGCTTTCTTCTCAGTTATTAAAAGACCCTGAGTCTTAGTCCAGCCGGGGTTTGAACCCGCGACCTCCCACTCGGCAGATCGGCGCTCTCCCAACTGAGCTAACCAGGCGGAGGTAAGGGGTTAGAATTATGCTGCAAGGGGAGGATGATCAATCAAATGAAACCTCAGTGGATTAAGTCTATAAGCAAACCATTCCAACAAAAAACATTTTAAAAGAGTTTTAAGTGGTGCTGTTAACTCTATAATCAAATTTGAGCTTTTTCTTTTCACAGCTTCCCATAAGTTCTTTTAGCCAAAGGATGAAAAAGTGAAGGAAGTAATGCTGCATACCCATAATTCTGGAAGTGATGTACGATAGGTCCAGGTCATTCTTAACATATCTAATGATAAAGAACGAAATAAAAAGAAAGAAAGGAATAGTTAATATCTTTTCTTTTCTTGAACTTGAAGTGTGAGGGGTTAGAGTTATGCTGCAAGGAGAGGATAATCAATCAATCAAATTCCCTTTCTGACCCCCTACAGTTAAATCCCGTTCTTATGCATGTAAGTAAAGTCAGGGAATAAAAATACAAATACGAAAAAGGGAGGGTCATAAACAATCAACACGTACATATGACTTTAGCAAAATCCAACTAGTTGTCTTTTGTCAATGCTGCGTTCTGATTGGTTGAGCTACTACTAGGATATATGTTATAGCCCACTAGTAGCGAAAAGTGCTGGCTTTTAAAACCAAAACAATGGCCGCTGAATCTCGTTTTCCTAGCTAAAGTTGTTTTGTCTCAATATTTTTGACCAACTAGTTGGATTTTACTAAAACAATTATTCCTCTCGTCCTCGTGGCCTCTGAGCCAATAGCCCATTCAGCCTTCTGCCTCATGGGCTATTGACTCAGAGCCCATTCAGGCTCAGGAATAATTGTTAAATACAGAAAGCATGTGACAATATTGACTCAGACGAAATATTGTGTGCATGTACCTGCCCTTGCTACACATACAGTACAATAATGTCATCATAAAATTAATCAACTATCATTCAACAGCTGTATTATTAGTGAACTTATGCAACAGGACAGGAGAGGAAAGAAGACGGCAAACCTTGTGTGACAACTGTGACAACAAATTTGTTTGAAATAACTTTTCGCCAACCATCACTTTCCTTTAACCAGATCTTTTTGTAAAAACCAGAAAACATTAATGCTGAGTGAAGATCATGACATTACATGCAAGTTATAGCCCTGTCACGTTTGTCACACACAAACATTTTGCCGTCCTCTTCTTCCTGCCGTCCTGTTGCGTAAACTAACTATTAGCTCTCAAGAACAGCCACAGAAATGTTGAACATACCCTGCAACAGACTGCATAACTTTGTTGGACATGTCTTTAATGTTGCTAAAAAAACTGTTGGCACCTTTCACTACTCCACCAAGTAGTGCAGAATTGCCAGATGCTGGCAGTTGCGGTGGTCCACTGGTACTCCCTAAAGAAAAATCAAAATCAGTGTTACCCTGGCATGCATAATGGTCGTTTTGATTCCCTTTTAGCCAAATGTGAGAAGCACAGAAGACAGACAAGGGCATGAGGTGCAATTAAAAGAAGTAAAAAACTTGACGCGGGGGTGGGGGAGGGTGCTGGAAAAGAATCTCTCCCAGTCCTTCTTATTTGCTTATACCCTTGTAAGTCTCCTGTGCTTCTACCACTGGGTATGAAAGGTAGTTAAGCCCAGGCTAGATGAGGGAATGGGTTCTTGGCTGTGGCAAAGTGAGCTTACAGGTCAAACACAGCAATTTAGGACGTACCTGGCTAAGATGCCCTGTAAGTATGATCATGCAAATAATTAACAATTATTCCTCGAGCCCGAATGGGCTGGGTTATTGACTCAGAGGCCATGAGGGCAAGAGAAATATTATTGTTTTAGTAAAATCCAACTAGTTGGTCAAAAATATCGAGAATAAAAAAATTTTAGCTAGTTAAAGCTAGACTTAAATCCTCTTTTGCCGCCAAAAAGCCCGCACTTTTTGCTACTAGTTGCCTAGTAGTAGCTCAACCAATCAGAATGCAGCATTGATAATAGACCACTAGTTGGATTTTAGTAACAGCACTGAGTTACTGTTTATCACGTGGTACAAGGGGGTACTAACTCTTACGTCTGTGGACAAGATCCTTAAGTGTGACCTTTCAAATGAAAGCTTATTCTGTACAAGGTGGTTCTAACATTTGAGTCCAAGGATGAAATCCTCTGGTGTTATTATTCAAATGTAAACTAGAGAGCAGTACATGTACTTAACTGTGGTAGTGTTTACTATGCAGGAGAAAGCATCTTACATTTGAGTCTGTGAATAATGCTTTAGAGTGAGCACTCAAATGACACCTCTTTAGAGAGTTTTACATGTATCTGCAAGGTGTTGTTTATTTGAGGCATTGTTCATGGTTTACTTTTCTTATCATTGATTGGAAATAAAAATTTATAGTTCATAGATACCCACCCTGAGGAGATCTTTCTCCTGAAGACTGTGTGGCATCATCTCTCTGCAAATGTATAGATCTTTGTTTAACGTACATGTCAAAGACAAAGTAATATTTTGTCAACCATGAATCACATTATAGTTTTCAAAAACCTCATTTAAAATAATTGAAGTTTACACCAAAAAGAGAGATCCCCAAAAGCCAACACGAGGGGAAATATTAAACATCATCAACCAAATTAAAAATACTAGGCCAGTGTGCAAAGAAAGTAGTGTCCGATAGCCCGGGGCTCAGTAGTGGATTTTGCTATTGGGCTGGCAAATTCTGTTCTTAACTTGCCTGACAGGCAAGTGAAGTTTTTTGAGGAATTCAAATTACATAAGAACTGTGTAATCAATCCTGCTTATCAAACGTTTTGGGGCCAGTTGAAATGAATTTTGGGCTAGTTGATGCCAGCTACAGTTTGCCCCAATGGCAACCTTTAAAACTGACTTTCTTTGCACCCTGTACTAGGCCACA